AACCAGCTATAGGGAGTACTGAACAGCTGTTTCGTCCTAGTTTGGGACTCGTCGGTTACAAAGGAAGCTAGTTCGTAAACCATTCACAGCCACTCCGACCCGATTCAATGGCCAGCCAGCCCATGAATTCTAACTTTAGCCCAATCACTGGGATTCATCACCAGGTCGAGAGTGAGGAGAAATACTCGGGATGGAAAAATCATACTGTTCAGTCTGGAGCAAACATACTGAATTAAAATTCTGTAGTTACTAGCTTACTACAAATATATAAACTTATAAACACATAATAACTAATGTTATACTCTGCGGAAATTTTAAGCTTGGATGGAGGACGTATATATGTACACGTGTGTTTGAGTGTGTGTGTGTAAGTGTGGGGGAGCGTAAACACTGAAACATACAGTGAATGAGTACATTTCAGCTGAAGAAACACTCACAACAAATTTAACAATAAGGGAAAACTTGAAAATTTCAGCTAAGCATATATATATATTGTTTTCTTTCCTCTTTTTATGGCTATATACCAACTATTTTTATTATTATATATTTATGAGTTAGGGAAGAATCTATTTATTTATCTTTTTATCTGTTTATCTCCTCTGTTTTTCTCCAACATAAAGTGAATGTGAGAGAGAAAGGAGGGCATAAATCTCTGTTGACTTTTTATGCATGATAAAACACATAAATGATATGCATCATAGAATTGAGTTGAGTTGAGTTGCCTTGACTTGAGATGAAAACAACCATTTATGATGATAACGGTTAAATAGTCAAGTAAGCTAACGGTTTCAGTCATTAGAGGAAATCTTCTCACCTCGCCCCACCCTCTCGTGCTCTCTTATCTCTATCTCATCTATTCAAGCACATCACATTTGATGTAAAGGCGAAAGAAACAAACAAAAAGTCAAAATTTTACATGATCCCATAAATTATATACGGATGTTTAGAAAAGAAACACACAAAAAAAATCAGCTCATGAAAGGAAATGCGCACATATTTGAAGTGAGTTCCGGACTGGAACATCTCCAATTTGTCCTATTTTGTGCTGTTCTCTTGCGCAGACAGGCCCACGATTTATCATGAGCTTTTTTCTCCGCTATATTAACCTCGATTCATGCCTTTCTCGCCGTTTCCTACTCAGATTCTAATTGAGGACAAAACCAGCGATGTCATTCAACCGACTCCTCGGCATGTGTCCCATCCATCTCCATATTCTTCCACATGTTTGTCAAGCAACAGGTTCTTGGTCGGTTGCTAGCCTTCTGTGGTGATTCACAATTTCTATCTCTGTATTGTTGAAATACTTACTGTTGTTTGTTAATATATTTATTATATGAATTGAAATATTATTATATTATTGTTCCCTTGGGTTCCTAGTGGAACGTAGGGCTTCAACTGCACGTCTCCACTTACTTCTGTCTTCTGCTGTACTTTTCACCTGCATCCATGTTAGTCCATACTGTTTCAACTCCTCTTCACACGATCTCCTCCATGTCACCCTTGGACGTCCCACTACTCGCCGCTTCCCTTTTGGGTTCCACTCGAGCAATGGCCTGACGCGCGATGTCATCCAACGGCCTCCTCAGAGAGTGTCCAATCCATCTCCACTTTCTCCTGCATATTTGTTGGGCGATTGGTTCTGGTTTTGTTTGTTCCCATAGTTTCCGGCCATCTGATCTTCAGTATAGAGCGACGAAGACAGTTGTTGATAAAGGTCTGCAACAGGCTGTTGGAAATATTCTTTGTGACCCGCCTGTAAGTTTCTGATCCGTATAGAAGAAGTGAATTACTTGACGTTTGTATTGAAAATCCGAATTTTGTTGTTGATACTGGCTGAGTGACGAAGATTTCCAGATTGGTTTCAGGTGGATGAATGTGTTTCTGGCCTTCCCGATTTTCGATTTGACATCGTCGTCCGTTCGTCGTGTAGTTGAGACAATGCTCCCTAGATAAGTGAATGAAGTAACCTCTTTCAAATCCCTCCTGTTGATGATGATTGGCGGTGGATGTTGCTGCTTCTGTTGTTGTTGTTGGTTGGTTGGTTATTTTCATAACCTCTGTCTTGTCTATGTTCACCTGGAGTCATGTCCAGGTCTTCTAGGTTCTTCACGTCGGTCCAGGATATCCCTGTCTTCTCGTTTCCCACTGTCTGACGCATAATCCAGTCCAGTCCACCACAATTAGGAATATCATTGGTGATAAAAGGCACCCTTGTCTGACTCCTGTGTTTACTCCAAACGCCTCGCTGAGTTTTCCGTTGTGGATCACTTGACATGTGCCGTTGTCGTACAGCTGTTGAATAAGGTTGAATTGAAATATAATTCCGCCAAATACAAAATCCTAAATTCTTCCTCTCCGTGTTTTTGGTTGAATTCCTTTAATTCGGTCATTGCGAAATACAAATACTACTATTACAAATAATTATATAACATTTTGGGGTCGCTATGGAATTAAATAATCTTGAAAAGTTTCCTATGAATGGATCACCGCAGGAAATCGCCGATTATCTTGAATGTCGAAGAATGTTCGCGATGACAAAATTCCAGCTTATTTTATTACTGCTATTGGGCTAGATGCGTACAGCCTAGTGAAAACTCTGTCATTTCAATATAAAACAATTTCTCTGTCATATGATAAACTCCGTGAACTTCTAACAAATCACTTTCACATAACTTTCGAAATACGAGAGAGGGCTCAGTTCAACAAACTTGTTCGTGCTCGCAACCAGAAGATTAGAGACTTTATTCTTTAGCTTCAGATACAAGCTTCAAAGTGCAACTTTGGAGATCACCTGCATACTCAACTACGCGATCGTCTAATAGCTAGAATCAATATTTCTACGTTAGAGAAAGAGTTGATTCAGATTCCTTCCTGCACCTTTCAAACTGCTAAGGATTTATGAATTATATATGAAGATGTCAACAGTGAATACTCAGCTCCCACTACGTCACTGTCTGATGTCATGCTGTCCAAAGTTGATAATAAAAGTGTTCATAGAAAGAAATCCAAACTGTTGTCCACATGTAATGGAATGCAGAGAGAGTGCAAAAACATTAAACCGTGTTCTTCCTGTGGAAAGATTCATCTACCAAGCACTTGCCGTTTTCGGGGTGCTAAGTGTCATAAATGTGGTAAATTTGGGCACATAGAGTCTGTTTGCAGAAGTTCAAATACTTATGCTACTCAGAATTCTCACGATTCTCCCAAACTGTCTGGTAAAATGAGGTCAATGTCTCCTTCAGCTTTTCACAGCAATAAATCTCATCTAATGAGAACCTTCCCTAAAAGTTCAGGCAAGTCTCACTGTTTTATAATTGATACTAGGAGTACTGAGTCTATAATTTCTGAGAAAGATTTACTATCGCTTTGTAAGCATGCCCAGGTAGACCCTACTAATAGTTCGATTGCAGGTATTACTGGTCATTAACTACCTCTTATTGGTGCTACTAACATTTGTTTGAAATCAGACAGTGGTAATTTTGTGAATATCTACTTTCTTGTTAGTGAATATGGTCCATCTTTATTGGGATTGAAAGCCCTTAGATTGTTAAATGTCGAAATCTCATTTTATACTGAGTTTTTTGATGAATCTTTGTTCAGAGAATTAGTTCTCTAATGTTCAAAGAGTGTAGTTGGCATGACGATTCAGCCCATCCATCTTGAAATAGAGGGTGATACTATCTTCCTGAAGCGCCGATTAATTCCATATGGTTTTCGAGATGCAGTTAAGAAACAGTTAGACAAGTTGGTTGAGCAGGGCATACTTATGCCAGTTAAATCTTCGAGTTGGGCAACTCCCATTGTGACGCCACTCAAGGCTGATGGCAAAAGACCGAGAATTTGTGGTGACTAACGCCTTGGTACTAATTCACCAACTCCTCCTTTGGAAATAACATAAATTTTACATCTATTGTGATTCATCATTGGATTTACATGATAAATAACACCTGGAAAGTTCTCCAGTGTTTATCCTTACATCGAAGTTTCTGAAACACCTTGAAACGAATCTTTTCCATTCCATCGCATTACATGCGGAGCATGGGACACTTCAAAGTTGAGTTTTGAAGTTTCAACAACAGTGATGTCTTATTTAAAGGGTTAGGGTTGTTAGTCTCACACCAAACCTTCCCCCTTATCACCGGGGCTTACCGTAAGCTAAGTGAGGTTTACGAGTGTATTGGCTGGGAATCGAACCCCCGATCAAGTGAGTGGTGCGCGAGGATTTTACCACTCAACCACCTCCAAAACTAGTTTTTTTATTGTATTATTCTATCGATCAGTTAGTATGAATAACCTTCATATAGTAAAGATTAGACGTAGTTACTAAGCTTATTCTACAGATATAACCACTGACTCTTTAGTGGGGGAGGGAATGCTGATAAATAACCCAAACAACAATTACTTCATCATTTGAATACCAACCAACAAAGCACTGATGGCTAATGGATGGATGGGTGGACAGATGTCCTGAAGCTGCTATAGTCAAAGACAAGTGCTCACTAGAGTTCAGCATGTGTCCAAGCACTAATGTTCAGACTGACGTTATACCACGAAGTGGAAAAAGCAAAGTTAGAATTTAAATATCCCCATTAAGATCATTTCAGAACACAATTTAAACACGGTTCAACATGAGCCATAAAGTCTGTCCGAAGTTAAACATTGGCATACACGAATCACACAACTGGGAAAAAATTCCGCATTTACAATTCTCCATACAAAGTGAAACCTCGATTCGCCTTCGATTGCTAAACATAGCTGAGGTAGTCACCCCAAAAATGTTTCAAACCTAGTCTTTGTGTTCAGAAAAACGTTTGTTCAATCCCTCCCGCCCCCCCACTATTAAGGTACCTTCAACCCCAACCTAGAATGGTTATCTTTACCGGTGACAACGGGAAACTTTAAATTAACATTACCACATTTTTTAAATTTTTTTAAATACAACACATAACAAGTAAAAAAAAAGCAGAAATTTACAGGTAAACAAAATTCAATTAACTTACTATCTACATATTGATGATTCATAATATTCCCACGGTAACGCTGAAAACGTTTCAGGGAGAGAGAAAAATAACAAAGAAATTATAATCGAGTCATATATATATATACGTTTTATAGATAAGAATATTCATTCAAATCCTAAAAAACGTGAGTTATCAACCGTACCCAAGAAGATACTTTACATGAGCTTGGAATTCAAAGGGGACTTAGCTTCCGATATCATGAAACGGAGGATATCACAATCCCTGAAAAGAACATTCCCTGCTGCATCCCTGAGAATAGCCTTTTCTAGTCGACCATTATTGTTCAATAACCTGAAGGACAAGATCTCGCTGTTGACCAACTCTATGTGTGTTTATCAATTCACCTGCTCTTGTGGAGCTAGGTATATCGGTCGTTCGACACGAGTTTTGTCCAAGAGGGTGCAAGAACACTATCCTGCATGGTTACGAAAAAGTGGTAGTGGAGCAATAAGAAGCGCGATCATTGAACATCTGGTCGATAATGATCACCCTATCTCTATAGCCTCCGCCTTCAAAGTCATCTACAAGGCAAAGAGTAATCTACCCAAATCCCTACGTACCCGACTCATCTGTATTGCTGAAGCTTTGGCTATCGAAACAGAAAAGTAAGATCTCTGTGTACAGAAGAAGTTCTTTCAACCCCTCCAACTTTCATGGTCTTAATCCTTCTATGCTAAAGTATGGTAATCCCCAATCATACTTTAGCTCTACCAACTCTCCATTTTTTTTTCATTTTTTCATTTTTGTCTATTCAATTTGTATACTCTTCCTTATTAAGTCAATTGTTACTATTACTACTCTCACTTTTAATTGTCCCCGGTATTATTTCACTTGTTCCACTTGTCATTCTAAATCAATTCCTTTATGCAACATTAAATTCTATGCTATTAAATTTCACACAATATTACGTAACGTTTTTATTTTATTCGATTTGTCTACTAATCCTATAATTGCACACCCTTTTTCAAGTTCTATCCATCCTATGAATTATTCTATATATGACATTAATTTGCTTTAACTACGATTATAATCACAAACAATTTAGTTTTAATTGCATTTCATACTATTGTTATTATTATTTTATGCATTTACACCTATGATTCAATTCCCTCACCGGATATAACTTCTTAACAAAACCATATACATACGATTGTACAGCTTGGTGATAAATTCGTTGAAAAGAGCCTCTTCGCTGAATCATTTGTTTTGATTTTCTATATATATATATACATCAAGGCAATTGTGTCAAGATGGGAATTTACTATAGGCTAATATCTTGGATAGATATCTCGGATTATTTTCAGTTCCAGTAGTAACCTGCTGTTCATGGGAAGGCATACATAAAAGATGTAGGCAGATAACTTTGGAAATCAGGTGAATACTGGTGAAATTAGATCTGACTGTTGGGTTGTCGAAAAATGACTGAATTCTTATTTCTCAGGAAGAAAGCAGTACACTGTATGTCAGTCAGGGAAAGTCATCCACTTCGTTGCTTACTGAGGCTGGTGTCCCTCAAGGCGCTGTTCTTTCTCCTTTCCCGTTTTCTTTCTTCTTGCATGACTTGCCTCACTCTGATGATGAAATGAACTTTGTTGAGTATGCTGATGATCTAACTATTTCAATGTCTGTTAACTCCCAGCTTGACTGTACTAAGATGAACAGCTTTCTATCAGCAGATAGCATATGATCTCCGCTTAATGGTCTTAAACTAAATCCTTCCAAATGTCAGACTGTTAATTTCAGTCTCCTATGCAAAAGAAAGTTAAATGAAGCTGTTGGTTCCTATAACTTGCAAAATTGATGATATTGATATAGAAACGAAGTCTGAAGTTCAGTACCTTGGATTAATTATTTCTTCTAACCTATCCTGGTTTTCTCATGTCTTAGCGATATCTAAAAAAATATTTCGTCTGACTTTTTGCATTAAGAAGTTAAGGCACTCAGGCATAACTCAACCCCTCCTCCTCTCACAGTTTGTCAACTCATGTATTTTACCTATTCTTCTTTACTGTTCACCCTTGCTTATTCTTTCCTGGATTGCTTAAAAAAGACTATGTCATACTTCGTAGAACTCTGAAGACTGTCAGTCAGCAGGGCGAGTGGTATCCCATTGGGTCATATCGTTGACATTGTCATTGATAGGCACTTGATGTCATGCAACAAATTTGCTAAAGGAATTTTGTCAGACTCTGAGCATCCACTGCAGCACCCGCAGTTTCCACCTTGTGTCTCCTCAGGTGAAACAAGAAGTCTTTTCAGAAGACTTTATGCATATACGTCTAGGTATAAAAATTCCACTATACTATATTTGGCACGTAGTTTATGTGATGAAAATAGTGTTAGCTATGAACTAACTAACCTTATTTTCACTACTAAATAAACCATTTCCTCCACCCTTACAACATCAAACTTTATTGTTATTGTATTTGTTATATTTATAATCCTCTCAATTTTTTGGTTTTTATTTGTTTATTTTTTCATAAGTGTGAACATCATTTAAGCCGTGTAATAACTGTAAATTTTGTATTTGCCCCTCACGATACTATATCAACAGAACATTAGATCCAATAAACCATAACATGCTAAAATTTCCAAACTGAATCGACAATACTGTTTGAAACAAATTCACTGTTATTATTATTATTATATTTAATACTCTTAATTCGTGCTTCAAATATGTTTGACTTTATATCGTAAACATGGACAAATTCCTCTGGTTAATTTTGTTTTAATTTTTAATTTAATTTATATTTTAAGTAAATCAGATGCAAGATATTGTGACAAATGCTGAGAATTCCATTCTGCATTATAAGAACTGTTTTCGGAATAAAGTATATTATTATTATTAAGAATTTTGAGGATGAATGTGTGTCTAATATCACACAAACTCGAAGATTGACACGGGAGAATACAAATAAACTGGCTGAAGAAGCAGTCGGAGAGAAGACAGAACTTTGAATGAATGAATATAGAGGACACGGACGGAGGTGGTGATGAAAACGATCAACCAACAGCAACGGCAACAAACACCAGAGCACCAATCATCATCAACGAGAGAGATTTGTAAAAAAACAAGTAACTTTCTTCACTTATCCAGCCAGGAAGCACGATTCCGACCACAGGCAGTCCAAATGGGGATGAAGATGTCAAATCCAGCTAGACAGAATCGAAAAGATACGCAAGATACGCCTTCATCGACATGAGAACAGTTTGGAAATCTTCTGCACTCCACCTCAGCATAAGGAAGAAGACTCGGATTTTCAACACAAATATGAAGTCAGTCAGTTCTTCTATATGAGTCAGAAACTTGACAAGAAACCAAAAGTCACTGCAGACTTTTATTACCACAAGGAACTCTGACAGTGATGCAAGATGAGGAAGGTGATGTGAGTAGGGGAGAGTGATGCTCAGGTAGGCTTCGTGTGCTTTTGGAAGTGTTTGGGCGGTTGTTACTTCCCGGCTGCCCACACTATGGAAGTTGGTTGAGTCTTCGGGTACCTGAAATAGAGAAAAGGTTAGTGTTGCGTGACCGCAGAGCTTGAGACCGGTCACACGCGGCCTGTTTTTGTTTGTTCTTATTCATTTGGTATGTCTCAGTAGCATATTTATCACTTCTGCCCTGTGACACAGCAGCAGGAAGCGCGGTCGTCGTTAATCCGGGCCCCGACCGATCCGGCATCATATTTTGTGAATTTGTTTGAATCATAGTGTTGGATTGGGTAGCTGCTTTTTGTCTAACCGCTATCCAAACAACCTTTCTGGCATGGTAGGACCTACAGGAACATAAGTTGCAGTCAGTGTAGCTCGTTGGGTCATTGCGATATGCAAGCCCGAACACCACGTCAAGGTAGCAGCTATCGGCCGGGTCTGACAGTGAAACGAAGTAAAGCAAGAACTTATCCCATAATAAATATGCCGAAACAAATGGAGATGAATCGAACAAACGCTAAGGAGACCGTTGGGGGATATCACATACCAGGCACACCATTTAATTTTTAATTTTTCTATTATAGCTTGATTCCACACAGTACTTTTGATAGAAGTATGGAATTTTCAGCATGTGATATCGGTAGCCTAAATTTTATAGGCCGACCAACGATATCAGGTGTGCGTCTGCAGGGCTTCGGACCATGTGCATAGTCGGCAAGAGTCTTAACCGCTGCGCCATCGACTGAAAGGCGACCAGTTGGGTGTCCGAGGGTGATATGAAGGAGATAACAGCTTGTAGGCAACTATGGAGCCAGTTAAGGAGGAGTGCAAAGAACACGGTGAAACATCAAAACAATACCCATAGATTAATATTATCCAATGACAACAACAAAAATAATAATCATAATAATAAAAGATGAAATCAGAATGATAATCTCCCCTCATGGGATACACACTGATTTTCGGCATACAAATATACCTGTTTAGGAGTACTCCTTATGGAGAGAGAGAGAGGGAGAGAGAGAGAGGATGAATAGCAATATAACAAAATCAAAATAAATACAGAGATAATCTCTCATAAAACTCTGACAACTTACCTGTTCACTTAACGAATTTAATGAATTCATACCAAGCAATTCAGAATCCAATAACGATAAAGGGGATGTATATAAACCTATAAATAGATAGATAGATAGATAGATAGTTATGTGAAGGCATAAAAGTAAACAAGATCAGTAGTACAACTGAATGTACAATGCACATATGTATATCAGATAAAAATCAATACTGAAACACTGCTAACGTCACTACCATCAACGATAATAACAACTTTCAAGAATTAATTTGTACAGATTGTATATGTTTCATTATCATCAATGATATTCCTAATTGTGGTGGACTGGATTATGCGTCGTTAGACAGTGGGAAACGAGAAGACAGGGATATCCTGCACCACCGACGTGAAGAACCTAGAAGACCTGGATTTCGCCCTTGGATAATTCATGTGTGATGTCACACAAAATTGAAGACTTACAAGCGAAAACTAACAAACTGGTCGAAGAAGCAGCCAATGAAAACAGAACTCCAGGTGAACATAGACAAACAAGACGGAGGTTATGAAAATAACCAACCAACAACAACAACAACAGCAACAACATCCAGCGCCAATCACCATCGACGGGAAGGATTTGAAAGGGGTTACTTCATTCACTTATCTAGGGAGCATTATCTCTACTACACGAGGAACGCAAGAGGATGTCAAATCGAGAATCGGGAAGGCGAGAAACACATTCATCAACCTGAAACAACCAATCTGGAAATCTTCGTCACTCAGCCTGCATCAACAACAAAATTCGGATTTTCAATACAAACGTCAAGTCAGTCAGTTCTTCTATACGGATCAGAAACTTGGCTACGGGTCACAAAGAATATTTCCAACAGCCTGTTGCAGAACTTTATCAACAATTGTCTTCGCTCTATACTGAATATCAGGTGGCCGGAAAGAATCACCAACAAGAAAGTATGGGGACAAACAAAACAACAAACCAATCGCCCAACAAATATGCAGGAGAAAGTGGAGATGGATTGGACACTCACTCGCTGAGGAGGCCGCTGGGTGACATCGCGCGTCAGGCCAGTGCTCGAGTGGAACCCGAAAGGGAAGCGGCGAGTAGTGGGACGTCCAAGGGTGACACGGAGGAGATCGTGTGAAGAGGAGCTGAAACAGTATGGACTAGCATGGATGCAGGTGAAAAGTACAGCAGAAGACAGAAGCAGCAAGTGGAGACGTGCAGTTGAAGCCCTATGTTCCCTATGTTCCACTACGAACTCAAGGGAACAATAATAATATAACAATAATATATGTTTCAAGTTACACCACGGATTGATATCAGTTAGAGAACCATTGAAAACCAGTTACAGGGAGTACTGTTAGGCAGCTGTTTCATCCAGGAGGAAGTTGTGACCAGTGAGGTCCATCCAATTGTCAGTGACATCGGTTAGTGGTGGTCAAGCTAAAATCACAAATTGGTAGAAGTTAGAATTCATAGGCTGAATCCGTTTAATCGGGTCCCAGTGGCTGAATGGTTTGTCCGGTAGCATGACTTGTAACCGGAAGGTTGTGAATTCGAAACCCGATGGGTGTGTACTTGCCGATGAATTCCAGTACTCCCCGTTAGTATTCAATGGTTCTCTAACTGATATCAATCAATCCGTAGTCAAACTTGAGATAATAACGATGCCAATAACAGTGACAAGAATGACTGATTAACCGACTGGTTTCAAAATAGAACTTTGTACAGCACAGATGTGCAGCAGTTCGAGTTGCCTCTCTCTCTCTCTCTCCATGTACCACACAAAGCAAAAGAAGAGAGTCAAGAGAGATTTATAAGAGAGATATCAATAGAGTTTTATTGGATATGATAAATGACAAAGAGTGAATGCATATGCTATTAGATGGTTGAAAGCAATCGGCAGGAAGCCTTGGACCTAGGTTTCGTGCTGGTTGCATTCAAAAGTCAGCAAGGTGCATCTACAACCTTGAAGGGACATGAGTTACCACTGAGCTATTCGGGCTCCACCCAGCAATACTCCATTATTAAATTAAGTATCAATCATTAGCCTGCAGTGACCATTATAACTCACAAAGAGTTACTTCCAGGAATTTCACCAACAATGGAAAACTAACAATCTGACAAATTCATTTATCAATATCCACCGAAAATAATAATATTAATAGTAAAATTTCTATTAAAATCCGATCCAGTCTTACAGGAGGTTAGTTTCGGGCCCGAATAGCTGTGATAGTAACGTCTCTGACTGCAGTGCTCACTGGGTGACGCGGGTTCGAATCTCAGAAGGGACATGAGTTCCTTCAAGGGTGCAGATACGCCTTGCTGAATTGTGAGTGCCAACTAGCACGAAACCTAAGTTGAAGGCTTCCTACCGATTGCCTCCAAACATCTAATATCATCATGATGGCAAGCTACCTAGAATGGTGGCCACATTGCAAACTTGACAGAGAGAATTCAGTCTGCATCAAAGAGAGGACTAGACACGTCACACTAGCAACTAGTGTCCAATCAAAGTAGTGAAAGCATATGCGCCAGCTATTGAGAAAATTTTTGAGCCATATCAGCAATTGTCTCCAGTCTTCATTGGTTCTTACCATCACAAAGACACCAACCAGTCAGGAAGTCAACGGCTCCCTACACGTCTGGCTTAAACTAACTGTTATAGATTTCATTGACAGATACCGTCATATTTTGGTTTGACCACCATAAGATCTTTTTCAACCTAAACCTATTTAAGTGAACATTTCCCGTCAAGGAAGGCGATGGTTAGGAGTGACTACTACACGTCCTACCCATCTCAGTCGATGTAACTTCACAACCTTGTCGAGTGAATTTAGAAACCCCATCATCCCATAAAAATGACACCAGCACTACTGGAACTTCAGAGTTCAAACTTTACACACCTTATGTTCCACTTGGAGAGTAAAGGAATGAAATAAAGGCGATACATACACATGGAGATATGGTTTAGTCATTTAAATGTCATCACCTGGTCTATCCCAAACTTGACTTCTACCAGAGATCTACGACTGGATAGTGTGACGACATACACAGTCTGGCAAAAACAAAACAAAAACAGTCTCCTTCACATAACTGAGATCCCCACAATAATCATTAATCCTGTGCCCAACTCTTCATAACAAATATACAAGTACAACTACACTCCTTGATGAAAACAACAAAAACAATTCAACTGAGACACTGAAAACAAATTCTATTCAATGTGAAGTAAAGAAGGCCTTCAGTGAACGAGAGACTACTGTCTGTCAATGACTCAAGAGGGATAGATAACACAATCCCAATTTTTCAACTGTTATGTATATTACTGATAGGCATTTTTCTTCCCAACCTAATAATAATGTATACCAACTGTCAGATTGCATCACCAAATTTATTAAAATCGCCTCATCATAGCAACATTGATGCTTAGAATTGATGTGTGTTAGAATTCATGCCTTTCTTTCTACAAACTGTCAGTTAATCCCAGTAGCATGATGTTATGACATAAAATCACTGTAGCACTTCAATTCCACACTTTGACTAAATATATACATATATATATATATATATATAACTGTCATCCCAATAAAAGTTCTATAATTGTTGAATATTTCTGATTATATAAACTATTATAAGAAAGGATGACTGAGAGAGATGTGATAACCTTAAGGAGAATTACTTTCCCAATAATTTGAAGGGTAAAAAAATAAATAAATAAATAACTTAACAATCTCTAGACTTTAAGAAAACAAAGTTTTACTTGTAGTTGCTCATAGAAGTTGACAGATAAGTCAAATTCTCAAGGGAGAATAAAGATGCGTGGGCGGGGGTGGCACAAAGTCAGTTGGGAAATTTATTAAACGTTAGTTTACACTACAGCAGCGATTTGATCGGCAACAGATTTGATCATGAATTGACATCAGTGTTAGAGAACTATTGACAAACCATAGGGGAGTACTGGACAGGTGTTTCGTCCTAGGCTGGGACACATCATCAGTCAATACACCACCCCCACTACCAGAGAGGTTCAAAGTGATATATCAATCTGTGGTGAAACTTGAGAAGCAAATTAAATCCCTACATACTAAATCTTGCAAATTGAATTATATCCAAGTTATATATGTCCAAACCAAGTTCACACTTTTAACAGTTTGAAAAAATTTGGGCATTGGTTATAGGATATTCATTATAATAAAGGTTTTTGTATTTCCCAATGAATGAATGAAAAACAAAACGATATTGTTTTTACTGACGATTCGCTATTTAATGCTGCTGCTAATAGCTTTATCAAAGTATTATTAAACCGGAATTTACAAAATCTCAGCATATATATAACAAAGAGTTAAGGGGTAAGAAAACATGGACCTCGACAGTCGTCATTCCATATGGAGCAGAGACGTCAGATGATATCAGAAGAGCACTCATTCAGCTCGACATTACAGTTTTCTACAAAACATCAGACACACTACGAAACAACCTTGTCCATATCAAAGACCAAATCCCTAAAGATTCTCTATCTAATTGTATCTATAAAATAAAATGCCTGCTTGGAATGTGATACGATATACATAGAACTAACATCTCGAGAAATCACAATCAGAAGAAATGAACACCGTAGAGCATCTGTTCATCCACCGAGAAATCCGGTTAGTGAACTAGAAAAGCTTGAAAAATCATCAGCCAGAAGTCTACACGCTATAGAATCAGGCCACAAAATTGATTTTGACAATATTGAAATCATCCAGAAAAAGCATTTCAGAAATCACGAAGAACGTCTAATATCAGAAGCACTTCATATCAAGTGGAATCCAAATTGTCTGCACTGAATAGGAATGATAGACTAAAACAGAATCTGATCTGGTTACAACACCTCCCTCCCACATGAAGTGACAGAATCAACACGAATGTGATATTCAAGTTCACTATGTAAACACACACTGCTTTCATAATTTTAAACACTGATCAAGTCCAACAATCTACACTTGATTTTGTTATCTTTACCAATTGACCAAATTGACAACGAAAAGTGACCCCAGACTGAAAAACGATGATCAAGTTAATAAACTTTGTTTTGTTATCATAACAGATGTGCTATTACCTT